TGGATAATTCCTTTCTTCAAGTTCTATTTTATTTTTTTAGTTCAAGTGTGATGAACATACAGTGTTAAGTTAGTTTCAGGTGTATAATATAATAATAGTTCAACATTTCTATACATTTTTCAGGGCTCATAAAGACAAGTGTCCTCTTGATCCGAATAATATTCTACCTTTCATATTTTCTAGATACAGAGGCATATGTATAAATATTTTTTTAATTCCAAAATTTATTCCTTTCTTCTTTGCATTGTTGGTATAAATGTCCAGTACTTCACTATAGAACGAAAGGTCATGATCTCAAAGAAGGACCCTCTTTAGCTTCTTCATAGCAGGTATTTTCTTATAAACCGTTTTCCATTAAGTATTATATAACTACTTGGAATAAAGTAGATCTTTTTCGTTAATTTTTAAAGGAATCTCTCAAATCTTAATTTTTATTAGAAATAGGTCCTAATTCTATTAGATATACCCTTTGTGGGAAATTGATATGATAACTTTTAATTATTTCATCTACTATAACTTTTTATAATTAGAAGTTTTTCTTTTATTAAAACGGCTAAACTCTCACCAATAACAATGGATAATCTTTTCAATTTCCTCCTGAATTTCATCTAAGCTTAACATCACGATTAATGACTGAGATTGTCTTAGGGATTTTTCTTATCTGTGTCTATCAGGAAAGAATCCTCTCAGGGTGCACGGGTAGCTCAGTTGGTTAAGTGTCTGCTTTCAGCTCAGGTCATGATCTCAGGATCCTGGGATCGAGCCCCAGATTGGCCTCCCTGCTCAGTGGGGAGCCTGCTTCTCCCTCTCCTATGGCTCCTGCTTGTGCTCTCTCACAGATCTGTGTCAAATAAATAAAAGAAAAAACTTAAAAAAAACTTAAAACTTAAAAAAAATAAAGGAAAGAATCCTCTCAAGCATTTATTGGCTGCTTCTGAATTTCAAGAAAAATGTACACAGGGACATCATTATTCTCTGAAGCTTTGAAAACAATGAATTCTAAGCATATTAGTTTCAGGTGACATTTGGGATTTGGGGATACTTTTAAATAACTTTTCAATACCCTGCATATTTGGGCCATTGACAGTTTCTTATGCTCCATCCCATTTTCCTGCAAGAAATAGCCAAATATTGTATCCATCTTATTTCTTATTTCATTCCTTAGTAATTTTTTTGTTTCTCTTATGTGTTGGCAAATGCTAATCTCTTTTCTCATTTCGAAACTTGTTCATTTGTATTTTCCAATTTTAATCAAATTTATGTTGCTTTAACAATGTTCTAAGAAAAAGTAATCATTGGTTTTATTTATAAATTGTACTGAAAATCACTTCGCAGTTCACAAAAGTCTATTTGATTTCCTCCCTTTTTGTTTGCTTTCATAGCTTTTATAAAATCTTTTTAAAGTATAGTTAAGTTGGTTAATTTTCATGTTTTATTTTTTTTTCCATTTAAATAAATGTTTCTGAAAACAGTACATTTTTGTTTAAGAACTATTCTCTGGCTGCAGTCCAAAGATTTTAATAGGTAACATCTTTTTATCATCACTTACAAAAAAAGAAAAAAATGCCCTCGTATTCCCAAATGCCGTCTAGAATAGTGATTATGAGTTACATTAAGAGTTCCAAATGCTGAGAATTTTTTGTTTTTCTTCTACTTTTCTTATTTAATTCTATTTTCATTGCCTTGTGGTCAGAAATGTATGGAAATGCTCCTGTCTTTGGAGAAGTCTCACTCACAGTAACAGAGTATCTGCTACGTTCTGTGGACCAACAGGGTTTGGATATATTCAAACAACCCTGACTGGGCAGATTAGTGTGGTGATCCTGTTCTGTTCTTTTTTTTTTTTTTTTAAGGTTTTATTTATTTATCTGAGAGAGCAAGAGAGTGAGCAAAAGAGTACAAGTAGGGGGAGTTGTAGAGGGAGAGGGAGAAGCAGAGCAGGAAGGCCAACATGGGGCTCCATCCTGGGACCCTGGGATCATGACCTGAGCTTGAAGGTAGACGCTTGACTGACTGAGCACCCCCCAGGCTCCCCGGCACTGCTCTATTCTTGAATGGTAGGAACAAAATATCTAAATTCTTACACTCCCATATCCAGTGTCAATTTTGGCTCTTAAACAAAGGTAAATACATCACATGCCAAGGTGAGGGACATAAACAGATCAACGGGGAGGAGGCCTACCTGCTTGGGTGAATCCCACTGGTGGGTTCTACAAGGGTCATGGTATCAACAGGCAGACACACTCCATTCTGGAAGGGCATTTTCAGGTGTGTTGACCCCTTACATCGGTGTCTGGGCACAGCACTGTTCCAGAGCTCTGTGAGCTCCGTCGGGCATTCTGAACTGCCTTTATTAGCTTGTAACAATTAAGCAGACACACAGGGGACTTTTATGGACTATCTTTATCATGTTTAGTCTATAGCTCAGAAATGGTTCTGGGAACTGGTACAAAAAGATCAAGTCACTGTCGGGGCAACTGGGTTATCTCAGTGAAGACATTTCTCTGTAAAGTGCTGAGGTGACTGATGATGTCCCCTCACCACCACACCAGCGTGTGTCAGGGCGGGCCTGACACCGACGCAAGGGAATCTGGGGAGCAGAAGTCTGGAGCTGCAAATGCCCAACTGTGTTTTCCTAAGTGGGCTATTGTCTCGCTGCGTGGTGGGCTGCCCTGCAGAAGAGCACTGAACATTACTGTAATTTTGAAACACAATTTGTAAACGTTTGGAAACTTCACAAAGGTCAGGTAACGAAAGTCCTCTCCCCTGGCAAACAGAATCCCATGACCTCTCTGTTTGGCTCGGGTGCCATGCCCCCGAGGCACCAGCTATCTGGTATTTCCACGCCATGCTTTTTCTCCTTTGTCTGTGGGTGCCAAGTCCCCCTAGACTCTAAGTTCAGCTCAGAACTACACTCTGATGAATAGGACCACAGAAGTGGAAGTTTAATACCGTCAGAAGCCTTCCATGTTCTTTGGTAAGGGTCTTCATTTAATGGACAAGAAGACTGAATGAAGCCTGATGCGAGCGGTCAAGGACCTCCGGGGATTACTGTCAAACATTCATTGTTGGCCCAAAGTGTGGCCATTATGGTAGTTAAAGGACTCCTCCAAAGGCCCACAGCCCAGCTGTTGAGCTGTAGTGACTGTGACCAGAGTCCCTGGGTTGGGACCTCAGTCTTGGCTGGGGGCGCCATTTTGCTTTCTCCACTTCCTGCTCTTAGCCCGTCTCCTGAAAAGATCCATTTCGAAGCAGTGATTTCATTCTGGAGAGGTAGAAGGGAGCTAAACAAAGAGACAAATGGGTGGGGGTGTGTGTGGATCTAGAGATAAGCTGATAAATATTGCTTTAAATCTGAAAAATGAGGATAAAATGCAAATGGACCTCCACAGGTCAGAAACTATGCCCTGAGTTGGTACAGCTCAGGGATCTTGTGCATTTGATACCTATGCACTCTTTGGGACTAGCTCTTCTCATTGAGTTATCTCACTATGTGCTTGATAAATAAGGACAAGATAAATAAACCAAACAGCCTACTCTCGAGATACTCATCACCTAATAAGTAGACACAGACAAGTGAATAAAACAGAATTCAGCCTGGTAAGTACCATGCAAATATTTAAGCAGTGGAGAACACTGAAGAGGACAGAAGACATGCTCTTATCAATCTCCTGGGGGCAGTAAGACAGCACACTGTGTACAGAACATGCCAGAGAAAATGCTGTTCCCCGTTGCTTGGTTGCTCCGGACAGAGGTAAAGACACCATTCCTTTCCCTTGGGCTAGGTCGCATCTAGGTCAGTTTGAAAGCCCAGGAAGTAATGGGCCATGGGCCTGCGGTTCTAGAACCATCTTCAGGTCATGCCAAGGGAACAAAGGCTGTGTCACAGAGCAGACAGGGCATACTGAGGCTTCCACATGGAATAAGTACCTTTAAGGAGGAAAACCAAGGACCCCTTACTCTGATTAAGGGAGCAGTACAAGCCTGTTTACTTTGCAGAAATTTCCTAACAGAGTTTCCCTTTCCTTATCTACTGAAGCAAACGTCCCCGCTGTCTGAATTAGCTTGTGGGTAGCCTTCACCATCCCCGCACCCCCAAAGCTTAGGACCAGAGGCAATAATCCCAATTCCTGAGAGCAGGAGAGAAGAGATGGTCTGCTCCAGCGGCCGCGGCCCCTCCCCTGAGGACAGCCTCGAACATGGAACTCCACAGCCCAGTGCACGGGGATTCTCAAACACAGCCCCACTAAAATAGTCCTGCCTCCCTTGCCAGTTCTTCCAGTCACCCAGGAGCGGCTGTAATCCTAGGAGAACATCAGCAAATGGCCGGTCATAATCCTAGGCCATGGGTTGCCCCCATGCCCACAGGTATGGTCCTGAGGATGCAGGTCAAGCACCTTCCTCATCTGGGTCTGCCTTTACCTGCGCACTGGAAAAACGTATTTCCTACGGAGCAGCTTCAACCTTCTAAAATTCACGTTGGTGTGGCAGCTGGCGGGGCCCTGAGACGGGTGTCCTCCCAGCCACCAGCAGCGACCGCACAGAAAGCCGAGGTGGGAGAGCCGCGGGCTTGGGCTGCACAGATCACATTGCATCTGCCTTTAGGCCAAGCCACCGGCCCCCCGCCGTGTGTGCCGGCCCTGCCAAACCAGGCCCCCTGAAGGCCCTTCCCCTCTAGCTCCGCTCATCACACTCAGGAAAGAGGGGATCTTTGTCCTTCATATTCACCTCCACATGCCAGGGAAGAAAACAGAAATCAAAGGGGAAAAGTGACTTGGCCTAGGTCATAGCTGTGGAATTCAGCTTTGGGGTCCTCTGCCCAGTACTCATTCCATGACACGGCACCGTCTCCCGAAGTAAATGTCCTTGGTCACAGCTCAAGCCTGTGTTTTCACCCACAAAGATGCACCAAGTATCCAAAATCACAACTCAAGACAATCCCCAATACAGCCACGTTCCCCATGTTGCCACCCCGGGCCCTGGAGGCTTTGAGTCTTTACCTTCGAACGCCCGTGCTGCGTCCACGAGGTGGGACCAATCTAAGCCCGTGGCCGTGTCTGGGAGGGGCATCAGGCCAGGATCCGCACACTTGGACTTATCCGATAAGGACCCATCGGAGAACCAGAACTCATCTGAACAGAGACAAAGCCAGAGCGTTAGTTGGATGGCAGTGTGGGGCACGGGCGGCCCCTCCAAGGAGCTGGGGAACTTCTTATAGCAGATCACCTGCCGCCCATGAAAAGGGGGACAGTATGCTGCAGTCATCCAAGAGCACACGGCTGGGAAGATGGAGGTGTGCAGGGAACCAGGACCTACACACTCACTTAGAGGTCGGCCAGCGACGCACTGGGATGGAAGGGATTTTAGAAGGGAGCAGTTCTGACGGGACAGTGCTGAAATCTGGCAGCTTCCTTCCAGGCTGGGCTTCTCTGGAGGACATCTGTTCCCGTCTGACTAGCTGCAGCATTGATTCCTGCTTTCTGCAGGCATTACTTCCCTTCCAGTGCTACGAACTTCCACCATACACACAGTGTGGTACCGTCTCCCTCTAGCCTGACGGTTTAAAAGCTTCCAGAAGAACACAGTATGTACGCTGGACACCAGACGGTCAAGATGCCCTGAACATATTTATATATTTTTAATTACAAAGATGCAGGAAGACTAACTTTGCCTTCATTAGTGACGGTCTTTCCTCATGCTCGGCACGAACACGGGGGCTGGACTGCTTGGCTGACTCACGGAACTGGTTCATCACCGGGTAAGCCAGAAACCCTTCACCGTCCAGCATGGAATTCTGTCTGTCCTTTGTCGGTACAAATGGACTTCCTAGGTATTTCTTTTTCACTTGTCATCAAGGGACTTGGAAGTTTATGTTCTTGATAAAATTGGATGTTAGAACTCACTACACATCTCAGGACCGATTTTTCAAAGGCTTCAGCCCGGACTGTCTCTGACATGTCTCTTCTGAACATGGCCCAAACGCGGCATGCAACTGCCTGTGAACACATCTGCCTAATGAGACCAATCAAAATAATGACCACCTGGCTGTCTGAGCCTGCAATTAAGTAAGGGGCATAATTAACCCAGTGCACCTGTAATTTTTGTTCCCACACCCTTTGGGGTAGCTGTGAAAGCTGGCATCTGGATGGAGAATGAGCGGTGGTGTTTGACCTTGACTTTGACGGGCACTAACGGTCTTCCACCTGCTGGACACCTTCACAGGCCGCTCTCAGCCCACCTCCACTCAAGGCTGCTACACCCCTGCAACCACTCTGTTTTCAGCATTAACCTGTTTAGCTGCGCTGACAGTCCATGGTCAAGGGAATCCAGTTACGGGGGTTCTGTCCGCACAGCTCCTGCCACTTTCCCTCTCCACGGGCACGTCTTCTTTGAAATAAGAACCATTTGTACTGTCTACCTGCACAGTCCTCGTCCGGGCCGGGGGGAAACAGGGAGCCACAGAAGCAGGAAGCTGGAATGCGAGCCCAGAGAGCAGGAGTCCGCACTCAAAAGCTGCCTCCTCTCCGGACGGGTTCTCTGGAACCCAGGGAAGCAGGAGCAGAGGAGAGATGGGCTGAAGCCCTCTCAGGCCTCAACCAGAAGTTTAAGGTTCAACACCCCAGGCAGAAAGGTTTGGGAGCCCTGGGATCTTCAATCACTTGCAAATCACGTCCTTTGTCTCCAAATGCTTTGGCTGCTTTGCTTAAAGAAGGTTTTTCACTAAGAGTACAGGGATTATTTGACTAGGTGGCCCTGACTTTTGTGACTATTTCCATGTGACCAGAGCTCTTCAGGAATCCCGTTAAGAGTGCGGCAGCCCTGTGAAGGGTGCACCAGGCAGGCTAGAACCCCTTTGTTCCTGGGGCAATTCCCCCACCCCTTCCCTCCTTGGGGAGGAAAACAGCAGGGACTGGTGATTATTCAGGAAAATGAACACTTCTGTAGCACTACACGCAGAGTCACACTTCACTAAGAAATGCCTTTATAGATACATAATCCTTCACCTGAAGTTCTGGCTTCATAAAGCCTAAAATCAAACCTAATGCATGCTTGCAATGTGTACTCGACCTTCTCCCTGCACCCCGCCAGGCAACAACATCCTTCCTGGCTCTCACAGAGCCACATGAAAAGTGGAGCGGGATGCAAACTGGACGAGCATTGAGCTAACATCCCTGTGCCCCCAGCAGCTGCATGCTCGAAGGGCTCCTTCCCCAAGCACCGCTGGAGTCTTGGGATGCTTTGAAGATTCCTGAACAGCCTGAAATGCCACGATGTGTGGCCATCTGTCATTGAGCCAAGGCACACATCCGATCCTGGTGGCCCAAGGAGCCAAAGCCCCAAGGGAGGGGGTGGGGAGGGAGAGAGCGTGCCCATCTCTTCACCCAGCGGGGAGGTCAGACAGTTCTGCTCACTGCTGCCCTGCGCACCAGTCCCCTGGAGGCCGCTTGCAAAGCACGTGATGACTCCGGGATCTGGAAAGGTCTCTGGGCATAAAGTTTCACAACCAGAGGCATGCCCAGGGCATGCTAACTTCCCCCAGCTTGTATGTAGAAGCAAGGAGCAGGAAATAGTTTGTGGTCTTTTTTTCTTTTTAAAGGTTTTATTCAGTTGTCAGGAGAGAGAGAGAGAAAGAGGCAGGCAGAGGGAGAAGCAGGCTCCCCACTGAGCAGGGAGCCCAAAGCACAGGACTCAATCCCAAGACCCTGGGATCATGACCTGAGCCAAAGGTAGATGCTTAATGGACTGAGCCACCCAGGTGCCTCTGTCTTTCTTCTTCTTCTTCTTTTTTTTTTTTTAAAGATTTTATTTATTTATTTATTTGACAGAGAGAGAGAGAGAGAGAGAGAGAGACAGTGAGAGAGGGAACACAAGCAGGGGGCATGGGAGAGGGAGAAGCAGGCTTCCCGCAGAGCAGGGAGCCCGATGTGGGGCTCGATCCCAGGACCCTGAGATCATGACCTGAGCTGAAGGCAGACGCCCAACAACTGAGCCATCCAGGTGCCCCCTGTCTTTCTTCTTTATTACAAACTAATATCCCCTCTTCCCCAGTTTGCGAATGGAACTGTTTTGTTTACTGGAGACATGAAACTGGCAAAGATGACCAGTAGATTAGAAGAAGTCTCCTCCTCCCAGGGTTTCCTGGGAGCGTTCTGCTGACCTATCTGTGAGGTATTACAAAGTGACTACGGCATGCCTCACCCTGTGCTGGGGACAGGGGCAGATAAGGCAAACAAGAGCCATCCTCTCCGGAAGCTTACGAGAGATGGGGAAAAAGACAGTAATTAAATAAACCAGGTAACACAAGGAGGGACAAGTCTTTCAAAGAAAACTAAACGGAGGGAGGCAGCAATGGGACTGAGGAGCCTGAGGGCATGTTGGGGGCAGGTTTATCTAAGGTGGGGGCCTCCCTGAGACCCCAATGATGATAAGGGGCTGCTTGATGAAGAACACAATTCTGCTAGAAAAGCTCTAGGGGGTTTAAATCAAAACTGAGCAGGGAGATTCTCGTGTCAATGACAGTCCCCTTAAATGACACAAGAGCACCTAAATTCTCCTCTGAATCATCAAGAAGAAAATCATCTCAATTTCTTTTCAGTTGTTTGGAAAATTATATAATTGGTCTGAGCCTCCAAACCACCAGAAATCCTTTGTAATACTTTTAAAGGATGTTAGGTATCATCACCTAGAAGATGCTTACTAGCCCTCAGGGATACAAGGACCAGGAAGAGGCAGGTTCGGCCCCTGAGGAGCCCAGTCAGCAAGGAGATCTGCTTGCTGGTGGCTCTGCGGCTGGGGTGGTGATGGTGGTGGGATCTGGTATGGCGCAGGCAAGTGAGCCACTCCCACCCCTGTGCCCATGGTGGCAGCTGTCACTGGCTAGCTTCCTGAGTTTTGGAGAGGAGGGAGAAAAGGTACCACTTGTCTTACGTATCAAAGCTCATTACTTCAAATCCAGCTCTCCAAAGTTAGCATTCTGTCAGGAGCACACACTGCTCTTTTGGCCAATTTAAAGAAGAAAGTGGCTTGCGGATTCCGAAGGATGGCTCATGTCCAGACACTGATGCCCAGGCATTGCTCTCCAGCCCAGACACTGATCTTGTGGCTTCCTGTTTGTTTATCTGTGACCGGAAAGTGCTGCCCAGCCTACTGAGTCTGACTTTGTTGTTTTATAAATGCTGTGGAACCTTCCTGATGGTCAGATGGCTAGGGTTTCTCAGTTCTTCTCCCCAAACCAGGAAAGACCGTGAACATTTGAAGAAGAGAAACAAGTGCCCTGTGGAATCCGTCAAGCCCTGCCGGGACAGTCCACAGCTGCCTTCTGTAATGCCAACTGTAACAAAGGTCATCTGCCTATTAGCAGCTCTTACAACCTATGTCCCACACGCTGAGCCTAGAGCTGGGCCTTGCAGCATCTTGTGAGAGTACTAAATTATAAAGAAAATACTCATTTTATTTATTCTAAACTCTCCGTCTTCAAGGGAGCATCCTTTGGGAGGTGCCTAGGTCAGAACTACAGGATTTGGAAACACATATAAGTTGATGCTCTGTTTTTATCTTTTGAAATTGAATAACTTTTGAGTCTGTGCTCATAGGAAGATTTCTACCATTGCTTGGAGAGCTTTGATCTCCATAAAAAACCAGGAATTCTTGCAAAAGACCCCAAATAGCCAAAGCAACCTTGAAAAAACAAAGTAAAGCTGGAGGTTTCACAATTCCAGATTTCAAATCCTATTACAAAGCTGTACTAATCAAAAGAGTATGGCATAAAAACAGACAAACAGATCCATGGAACAGAACAGAAAGCCAAGAAATAAGCCCCAAACTCTATAGTCAATTAATCTTTGACAAAGAAGGCAAAAATATGCAATGGGAAAAAGATAGTTTCTTCAACAAATGACACTAGGAAAACTGAACAGTCACATGCAAAAGAATGAAACTAGACCACTGTCTTTTACTAAACACAAAAATAAATTCAAAATAGTTTAAGGACTTAAGTATGAATCCTAAGACCATTAAAATCCAAGAAGAAAGCATAAGCAGTAATTTCTCTGACATTCATCACAGCAAGTTCTTTCTAGATATGTCTTCTGAGGCAAGGGAAACAAAAGCAAAAATGAACTATTAGGACTACACCAAAATAAAAAGCTTCTGCAAAGCAGGGGAAGAATCAACAAAACTAAAAGACAACCTACTGAATGGGAGAAGATACTTGCAAACGACATTACCTGATAACGGATTAGTATCCAAAATATATAAAGAACGTATACAACTCAGTATCGAAAAACCAAGACATGAACAGACATTTCTCCTAAAATGGCATCCAGATGGCCAACAGACACAAGGAAAGATGCTCAACATCACTCATCATCAGGAAAATGCGAATTAAAACCACAATGAGAGATCACCTCCTACCTATCAGAGTTGCTAATATAAAAAACACAAGGAACAACAAGTGTTGATAAGGGTGTGCAGAAAAAGAAACCCTCATGCATTATTGGTGGGAATGCAAACTGGTGCAGCCACTGTAGAACACAGTATGGAAAGTCCTCAAAAAATAGAAATAGAACCTCCATATCACCCAGTAATTACACTATTGAATAATTACCCAAAGAATGTGAAAACACTACTTTGAAGGGATACATGCACCCGTATGTTTAAAGCAGCACTATTTACAACAGCCAAACTAGGGAAGCAGCCCAAGTGATGAATGGATAAAGATGATGTATTGTGTATATGTGTGTGTGTGTGTGTGTGTTTATACATACACACACAGGAAATATTATCTGGTCATAAAGAAGGATGAAATCTTGCCATAAGCAACAATGTGGATGATCTAGAGATAATGCTAAGCTAAACAAGTCAGAGGGAAACACAATATGATTTCACTCATACATGGAATTTAAGATATATAACAAAAGAAAAAAAAAAGAGACAAACTAAAAAACAGACTCTTAATTATGGAGAACAAACTGATGGTCCAGAGGGGAGGTGGCTGGGGGGATGAGTGAAATAGGTGATGGGATTAAGGGTATACTTATACCGATGAGCACTGAGTAATGTACAGAATTGTTTAATCACTATATTGTACACCTGAAACTAATACAACATTGTATGTTAACGATACTGGAATTGAAATAAAAGAGAAAGAGAAAGAATTAAAAAAAGGAAAAAATCAGGGAACTGCAACAGTTTTGGGAGGGGAACACGAAGGATGTGAGCCTTCTTAGTAGGCAATAATATTTACATAAACAAGGCCTTCATATTATCCTTTTGAAGGTTCTCTTCCCATTTCAAATATTGTTTAATACTGAAGACGGATTTTCTTAATCAACCTTTGGTAGTATTCTTTAAGATATAGTCTCTTCTGACATTTTGCAGATCTAAGATTATTGGTAGGTCTTGTTGTTGTCTTAAAATTACATTCACAGCCTTCTTTGTAAAAAAGTACTTAAAATGGCAGAATTTTTATAATAAACATTTACCAAGAGAAAAATGAAAAAAAAATAGAAGAAAATCAGGAATTCTCTTTAAAAATGATGGGAACCTGCCAGTGCTTGGAACTGTACTGAATCAAGCCAGGTACCCAAATGGTCAAGGAGGAAAAGGATACCGGGAATGCTTTTCAAGATCACCAGTTCTCTGGCCAATGAACCAGGTGTCCAAAGGGCCACTTCCCATTTTTTAAAAATCTGGGCCACTGAAGAAATTTTGTTCTGAAGTCTACTAATAAGGAAAACAAAGGCCTCACATGCAATGCAGAAACACTTCAGAATTATTTTCAATCGCTTGATCAGGTCATGGTTTCACAACTCCAGGTAGAAGACACAATGACACAGCACATTTCAGCGACTTCACAGTACATATACATGAATCATGGCATGAATCACATCCAAAACGTGTTTGTGATGTACCAGTCTCACCAGGTTGAATCAAGACCTCGGTCTCTAGAGAAGAAAGGCTCTGAGACAGGTTCAAATTTGGGACATTCACTAGCTAAAAGTATCTGAACGAGAAGCCTGTGATTATTGTCATTGATAACCCGCAGAAAGGCTGCAGAATGTTCGCTGTCAGGAGATGAAGCTCCTGACCCTTTCCCCGCGCTATCCTTCCCCCAAATTAGGACCGAGTCTCTACTGGGGACAGACTGCCTCTCTGAGGATCCCATGCAGGAGTGCTCAAGATTTAAAGCTTCACAGAAGAACACTGATGCCTCCTGAGTTCCTGCATAGCTGTTTGCACCCAGCTCCTTGGCCATCCAGTGCCCAAAGCTGGACAGAACTGACCTCTCCTCCAAGCCTTCCCGTGAAGCTAAGTCTCTGAGAAACTAAGAGAAGCACCTGGACAACCTCTAGGAGTCCTTGTTTCTTGCTCACTAGACATCGGTTGTTTCAGTTTTGAACTATTCTCCAAGAGCGAGATCTTCTCACCGCAGCTCTGCTGAGTGGCCCGAAACCACAGACGGGGAAGGATGGCTACCATCTGTCTAGGAGATGAAAAGAAAGGACCACGCAGGTGAATGCGGGAGTCAGACACATCAACACAAATTACTGTCTGCTTCCTTGTTGACATTTTGTCATTTCACTCATTGAACCAAGAGGATTTTTCCCGAGGAGATGCTAAAGTAAGCTGGAGAAGCCTCATTGCCGGAGGTTTCACTAGAGAAGAGCAAATGCCGGGGACCATACTCACTGTTTTTCCCAGAGAAATGGACCCTAGGACTAGTACGGTGGTTCTGAACTCAGACAGGGAATAAGTAACACATCCTACTCATGTCCACACTTCGAAAATACCCAGAAAGGACGCAGTCCTTCAGTCGGTGGAGGGATAGATAAGCTGCGGTCCATCCAGAAGATGGGATATTACTCAGCACTAAAGAGAAGCAAGCTCTCAAGCCATGAAAAGACATGAAGGAAAGAGCCAGTCTGGAAAGAAGACACACTGTAGGATTCCTAGAACTATATGACATTCTGGAAAAGGGAAACAAATGGGTACTGTAAAAGGATCAGTGGTTGCCAGGGGTATGGGGGAGGGAGAGATGAACAGACAAAGCACAGAGGATTTTTAGGTGAAGTGAAATTATTCTGGATGATACTGTAATCGCGGATACATGTCATTTTACCCTCAGGTTGTACAGCACCAAGAGGGAATCCTAATGTAAACTACGGGCTCCAAGATAATAACGTATCACTGTGGGTTTGCGGATTCCAGCACATGTATCTTGCTGAGGGATGTTGATTGGGAGAGAGGTTGTGCCTGTGTGGGGACAGGGGTGTATGGGAACTCCCTGAGCCTCCCGCTAAATCTTGCTGTGAACCTAAAACTGCTCTTAAAAAAAAAAAAAATCATTAAAAATAAAGCTAAAAAAAGAAAAAGAAGGGCACCTGGGTGGCTCAGTGGGTGAAGCCTCTGCCTTTGGCTCAGGTCATGATCTCAGGGTCCTGGGATCGAGCCCTGCATCAGGCTCTCTGCTCAGCAGGGAGCCTGCTTTCTCCTCTCTGCCTGCCTCTCTGCCTACTCATGATCTCTGTCTGTCAAATAAATAAATAAAATCTTAAAAAAAAAAGGAAAGCTAAAAAAAAAAAGGACACATATCTTTCATATGGAAGCAAGCAAAGGGTAGGAGGACAAAGGGAGAATTACATCAACACAAAGGCCACAGATGAGTTCATGACCACACATCAAGCATTTTAAATGAAAAAAAACCACATTTGCAAGAAAATAGTTTCACTGATTTTATGAAGGCTTTCAAGAGGACATTAAAGTTAACCTATTTACAAAAAAGGAAAAACATTTAGAGAACTATTAGATTATTAGAATGTGTCTGACCTTTCATGTGATTGTTAAGAAGGGGTTTAAAGTTTTCTTCAATTCAGGTAAATGGACTCGTTATAATAGGTAGGATACTATGTTATTTAAAGAAATAGATTAAGAATTTTATGAGACAAGGTTCATTTCCAATTAGGTTAAACATTAGAAGAAGCATTATTAGGACTTTTATTTCATTTAGCCTAAGACTTCTATGTGCATGATGAAGTTTAAATTGGTTCTAAAGATAATGCTTTATGATGATGATACCAAAAAAAACCGATAATGAATACATTTGTGATTAAATCCTCATTCTTCCTGTACACTAGAAATTAAACTTTGAAAAAGAAGGAATTTATAAAGCCAGTGTTAAAAAAAAAATATCACCCTTAAACTCTGACACAGTAATAAGAAATGGACACTATGTAAATAGCAAAGATTTCAGGGTGTAGAGGAAAATCATGTGGAAATTGTCTAGTTAGTCGGAGAGCAGTAAACCGGATGCGGGGAGACGAGGGACGAGCACGAGGACATGCTAGAGAGGAGACCAGGGTCTCCTGACGCCCGTCTATCACCTTGACCACCACCGGATATGTAATATCAAGAAGAAACAGAAATAGAAAGTTCCCAAGCTTGCTTGCTGCCCACCAGGATATCCACCTCCTGTACCATAGGTTTTCCTTTATAAAATCAGGTTTTGAGGTACTTTTTATTAGTGTAATCGCTAAGAGATAAATCTGGGTATATATCCATACGATCACTACTTGAGAAAAATGTTTAACACGAGGTTTTCTATATTCTTCAAAATGGGCATTATTGCGTAACTTTTTTAAAAAAGATTTTATTTATTGGAGAGAACACGTGGGGAAGGGGAGAGGCAGCGGCAGAGGGAGAAGCGGGCTCCCTGCCCAGCAGGGAGCCCGATGCATGGACTGAACCCGGGACCCTGGGATCGTGACCTGAGCTGAAGGCAGGTGTTTCACTGACCAAGCCACCTGGGTGCCCCAGGATTGCTTAACTTTTAGGAAATGTCCCTTCTGGTGCTTTTCATCACATTTAAAAATAATAATAACAAAAAGAAGACACACCAAATAATACATTTATTTTAAAAAATAAACCGAACACCCCAAAACCTCTGTAGGAGACGACACGACGAGCCGCCACCCACAGAAGCCCCCCTGCCACCCCCAGCCCTGCACTTACTTCTCAGGCTCCCCATGCTGGGTGCGGGGTGGGTCCGGGGGGGCAGCGTGCTGTGGTAGGGCGGGGTGGTGCTGAACAGAATGTCGTTGGGCAGGGCCTGGTCCAGTACTGAGCTCCGCGAACTGCTGAAGGGAGACCCCCTCCGATTGCTGCACACGCTCTCGTCTGAGAGCGTGCGGTGGAGCGATCGTCGCGGAGACAGGTTCCCGTAGAAGGAAAACTAGGGGTTTAAACGCAGCGGGAGAAGGGTAAGACAGGCATGAAAGAGTTGAAAGCACCAAACGGATCGGACTCGATCCGGCGGGGACACACACCCCTCGCTCACTCGGCTCTGTGGGCTCTCCCTAGGCGGACACGCGGGCACGGAGCATTAGCTCGGGAACGCTAAACCAGGCGCGGGGGTCATCAAGGCACACGTACCAGGGCTCTGGTGCAGTTATTGGATTTGAATGTTTTCCTCCTTTGACATTCTGAGAAATATTATCCTGAATTAGACATGCACGGCTTTATTAGTTCTGAAAAGTTCAATGGAACCTCCGTAACCTGAGAGCAGTGCCAGCTCCTGGAGCTGGAGAAGGTTGCAGTTTCTGGCATAGTTATTCAAAAGCACACATAGCACTGGCTTGACTTTAATTTGAAATGACGACATTTTCATAGGAGGCAATTTCTGTACCCATCAACTGCATGGGAGGTTCAAGGCCATCTAAACAGTAATAAAACTACCTTTGAACACGGTCGCTTTCTAGGCCGTGCAAACAGGTTTGAGAAAAATGCTATCAGTCCAGGAAAATCTTGTCTACTCAACAGTCACCACCCACAGAAGTCCATTACAATTGTTGAAAAATGGAGCTACATAACCAGATTTAAGGGAACCACTGAAATGATCATCCCACAGAGGGTGAGGAAAATTCTTACGCAAGAAGCAAGTGGTCCAATACTCAAGAAAAATGAAATAGAATCTGACTTTCCAACTTCTGCTTCTGCATACAGAACCACATTCCTTTTATACAAACAACAGTAAAAGCCAGAGTGTTTGCATCAAACAAATGCAGAAGGTTTTTTTTCTTTTTTTTTTTTACATTTACATTTGTGAGTGCAGCAAGGAGGCTAAAAATATTTCTATTGTATGTGTTCCTTCCATTCTGTCAGGCCTGTCCAACTGATGAATGGTAACTGGAATGCGTGGAGACTACAAAGTTAAATTTACACCATGAAAAGAAGGTGATTTGTCTCAGAAGGGGGGAGGGGAAGACCCACATACCAAGGAGAAGTTCATTCCTATAAAAAGAAAAGCTATTTGCACTTCTCGTACAACAATCTACACGCAAGCTTATACAGTACCATATACACGGCTGGATACAAGTTTAGGGGGAAAAAAAAAGGGACTCATTATGATTGACTTCTTCTGGGATTCCCTCTTCACACACACCAGCAGGTCCTTCAGAACATGATTACAGGAGCATTAGATTAAAGCAGCTTTGAGGTAGTATCTAATTAGAGTGTTATTCTAAGAACACAATTAGGTTAATTGCAGTATTGTTTTATTATAGGGAAGAGAGAAGCACACAGACTTGCTGTTTACCCTGATCACAATCAACATGGCAATGCCTGATTTTTTTTTTTTTTTTTTTTTTTTTCATCTGGACAAGATCGAGCTCTGGATTAGACGGGAAAAGACCCAGATTCCCTGTCCGCTCTACCCACGCTAGTAAGCTGCCCTTCCAGCCTCTCCCGGGCTTGCGCTGCTCAACGATACAACAAACCCTGAAGAGGGTCAGCGGTGCCCAGATGAATGGGTAGAATCAGGAGGAAGAATGCATGCGGGTGGGGGGGAGTTCCTGAAACTTCTGAGTCTCTTCAGACCCTACGTCATTGCGTCTGGTCATTTCAAAGCCTCGCGGAAGTTTGCTAACCTTTCTTCGCCCCTCCTCCGCGAGGGGACTGTCAGGAAGCATCAGTTTCAGGAAGTCTTCCTTGGACAGCACGTGTTGCGTTTCTGAAGCCGCCTCCCCCACCACGGTCTGCCGAGCCGCTGTGGACAAGAGATCCATCTCGCCATACAGCCTGTGGAAACAAACCAGAGGGGAAATTAAGAGCAGGGTCAGCCTCCCTGTCGAGTGCCTGAAGCCTGAAGGATTGAAATCCGCCGTCCCGACAACCGCGGACTCCTGCGCATGGAGCTTAATTATTAAGTCGGTTCATTGTCACCTCCTCTGCGCCAGACCCCCACATCATTTTCCATCTGTGAAAGGAGCTCAACTGCAAAGTCAGAGTTCTGAATAATTCAGAATGAGATCAGATCCCCGAAGCTCTGGATGGGGAGAAAAATAGAGCTCGTTTTTTTTTTAAAGGCCATGTCAGAAAACACATTTTCAATAATTCATCAGAGATGATCGTATGTCCTTTGCAGGCACACTTCCTGTGTTTCTTAGAAACTGGAGAGAGGCTCTCTCCTGTGGCTGGACAGCCACACCCCCACATCTCACCCGGGCGACACGGAGAGAGGCACCCGAGGGAGCCTGAAGTTTAAGAGTAATCGATTCGGGCGTGTGCCAAGCATGTTTTATCATCAGCGATTCCGCAAAGCCTTTTGGGTAAAGCAAGCAGCTGTCTCCTTTAATTATCAGGATATAAAGATGTATTTACGGACAACAAAAGACTGTCTCAGAGAATTACTATTTTCAGCTCTTTTCCAGGGAGAAAACCAGGGAGTCATCTTTAACAGGTTTGCTCTGGACATGCAGTCTGAGCAAGCAGACATTCCTGGGGACACTGGGAATCGCTGGTGGCTGGACCGTGGGCAGAGGTGAGAGCCGTCCTTGCCGCACGATCTGCAAGTCAGGCTCCAGGAGTCTGAGGTTCAGGGCCGCGGGCGCCGTCACCTTCACTGAGACGGCTCTACTGCAGAAGCAGGGCTGTCGTGTCACAGGGCGAGAGCTCACTGGGAAATGGCCATGGTGGGAAACTGACATGGACACGCTCAAAATGAACAACGGTCATCCGGAAGTCTCTGCGGCTTCTGCTTTGTTTCTGGGGTGGGCCAGGTTCAATCAGTGAGGGTCCTCCAGTATGGTTTTAAAGGGATAACTGGGAACTTCTGAATTCCATGGAACTTCCGGAGGGCATAACCGGTTTTCTATTTTGTGTACAACGAGACAGTGATATTCTGTAATTCTCTGGAGTACAAACACACTAAACGTGGCTGATCCCTTTCTGAGCATCATTCTGTGATGTGGTGGGACACTGCGTTTTCAGTCTGCAGAGGTGAGAGATTCATCACTTCCCCATTAAATAGAGTGTTTCCTTATTTTAGGAGCTCTTGACTTAGCTGGTTGGGGTCGGGGTTGCCTAACCCCCGCCCCCGACAGGATGGGTACAGCCCGCCACACTGAGACCTGGCTGGGACAGTGCCCTTGTGTGATGCCCTGACATCCACAACCGCAGACCCCTTCCTCACAATGCCCTTGAGGTTGCCCTTCTCTGACTGAAAGTGCCATCAACCGCATGTTAAAACGCACAAACTCTGGGGGGTTCTGGAGAGAAGAACATCCACACAGGCACCTGTCGCCCTTTCCCGACTCTTCGAGAGCCCTCCCCTCTGACAGAGCCCTCCTCTCCGCACAGAACTTAAAAGGCTTGGGATGTATTAAAGAGGCAGAAATACCAATGTTATCATTAGGGATTTGCATTTATGGTAAAAAATGTGGTTATCACTACAAAATTCCTTTCTAAACAACTCATCTGCAACTACTGACATGATGGTTTGTGTGTGTGTGTGTTTTAACAAAAAGAGTGTTCAGTTTCAGCACTAAAATGATTTTTAATTGAGAAAGTAGTATCAGGCTCTCCCTATTTAAGAAATGGGATCATTCTTCAATGGAAAAAGTGATACTAATTTACCAACCAAGCTTAAAATCTAGAAGAGCTCTCTGAAAATCACCGCAGCCCCCAGGGCACCCTCCAGGCATCCTGGTGTTGATGGGACATGGGGACACAGCTGAACACGGGGACCTCATAATTTGGTGCACAGGAGGTTTTTTCTTTTTTTTCCTAAGGCTGTCCTTTTAAAAATAAGCCAGTGAATAGAGAAATAGCTCTGACCAGCCTTGCTTTGCATCCTTGAAGTGTGATTTCTTTACCTGTCTCTTCAAAGAGACAGCAGCATAATTTCCACATGTCCTGTCAAGCGGATTATCAGTGTTTTTTTGTTGTTGTTGTTTTGTTTTTCTTTTTTCAAACAGGTACATAACATCCCTCCCTGCCTGTCCCCATAAAACCTAACAACTGAAAGGGAAGCCAAAGTCATGTTAAAATTAGGTAAACTACATTTCCTTTGATGATGTCACTTACACAACAAATTTAAGAAACACACTCATGGAGGGGTGCCTGGGTGGCTCAGTGGGTTAAAGCCTCTGCCTTTGGCTTGGGTCACGATCCCAGGGTCCTGGGATAGAGCCCCGCATCGGGCTCTCTGCTCAGTGGGGAGCCTGCTTCCTCCCCCTCTCTCTCCCTGCCTCTCTGCCTGCTTGTAGATCTCTGTCAAATAAATAAATAAAATCTTTAAAAAAAAAAAAAAAAAAAGAAACACACTCATGGACTCTGCGGGAATTCAAATTGTCCTTGAACTTGTTTATTTAGAGACGGGCTCTAGGGTCACACCATCAATAGCACATTACTGTGATTCTTCTACTGCAGGCAGCTTTTTGGAAATAAGAATAAAGAACAGGGATTTCTTTTGCGTTTATATGCAAACGTCAAGGAAAGAGAAGACTCTCAAAGAGAAACATAAATGTGAACATTTGAGAAGTTTTACAGAGATGTTTCCAGATTACTCCTTTTAGAAAATATACTTCTGTGGAGGGGGGACAAACACATGTGCTTAGTCGATCCCCACAACGCGTGAGGTTGCCTAGGGCTGAGCCGCCGTCCGCCTTACCCCTGACACTCAGCCACTTCAGGTTCCTCAGGTGGCGGGCTGCCCTCCGACTTCTTCCAGCCGATGACGTACTTGCTCACTGGTCCTTGCCTGTGGTAGGGCTTGGACATGGACCCGGCGACCTGCTGGGCGCTGCTGTGAGACACGATGTAGACTTTGGATGTATCCAGCGACCCACTGTTCTTGGAGCAGTGAGCTGAGGGGCTTCCTGAATGGTGTGAACCACTGAGGAGAAAAACAGACAAAAGCTGTCATAGAACCAGATTCCGGCAGTGCTGACATGCCTCCGGATTCGAGGGCACGGCGCGTTACCCCTGGGGGGTTGTGGCAGACCCAGCCTTCCTTCCTCCAGGGGCCAAGGATGCCCATGTGTAAGCTGAATTCCTGTGGCTGGAAGCATGTTAAAAACAATTGGAGGAGGGAGCCTGCTTCCCCCTCCCCATCTGCCTGCCTCTCTGCCTACTTGTGATCTCCCTGTTGAATAAATAAATAAAATCTTAAAAAAAAATTGGAGGATAATCAGAGAGAAACACAAGTAACATATTTAAACTGATGCTTCAAAAGGTGGGAAACCCCAAAGAGGGTCCTTAATCTCAGTGGCCGCCAGGAAAATGCCAACACAAAGCACGACAGAGTACCACGGCACACCAGCCACACGGGCAAACGCGGGACCGTCTGACAGTAAGTGTCCAGTGCTGGCCAGGCTGGGCAGCCATGGGTGCCCTCCCAGCACTGGTAGGAGTGAAAAGCATGTCAGACAGTCTGGAAGGCAGGCTGGGCATGACCTGCGAAGGCGTGCGGGGCACGGCGTGTGACCAGCAAGTCCGCTCCTCAGTGGACACCGCAGACAGACCCCTGCATGGGTGCGACTGGAAACAGGCCGCAGTGTGGACAGGAGGACTGATCGTAATAGGTCCCCAACGGCGCCACCTCAATCATCAGCCAACTAGACGGTCAATCATTAAACAAGAACGGATAAAGGGGATGCACCATGAATAATGAACCAAGCCCACAAACAACTCGGGTGAGCCTCACAGACACCGTGTAGCCAAAGAAGCAAGTCACGAAGAATACGTCAAGTGTGATTCCATTTTTAAAGGAAGTTTATAAACAGGCAAAATGGCGTTGGTCAGAAACACAACATATTCAGTTAGTAAAACAATGAGGCGATGCGAGGGGAGTTAAGTAAGGATCAGGAAAGCGAGTTCGTGACTACTGAGGAAGAAGGGAAGGGCTGTGGGTGTGCAGGACACAGGAATCTTCTGACAGAGAAATTCCAATTCTGCATCTGGTGGCTGTGTGCGTGTTTGCCGTATGACCACATACTATAACGGCCACAAAATAAAATTTAAGTGATGCAAACCCTAAAACAAACAACACAAAATTTTTAAAGTCAGTGATTAAACTAAGGCCAGAAGGATTCCCCACTGACTGCATAACCACCTGTAGAAATATAAAAGCCTAAAGACCTTTTTTATTTCAGGAAGACTGACAAAAGAATGTCTTATAAAAAATGAGTAAGAATAGACATCAGGGGATTACTTTACAAACACGAAAAAATGTAAATGTTTAAATTAGGGTAGGCCTCCTGGTAGGATGAACTATAGCCTTATTCCGGAACCCCTGAGAAGTACCTACCTCCCTGAAAACCTACATAATCAAGCAAGTATCCTTCGACGCAGGCAGTAGAAAAAAAAAAAAGTCCAAAATTAATAATGGCTATTAAAATGGACTTGTTAGAAACGGTCAAAAGGAAATAGGGTAACAAAATAAACCAACTCATTTTTGAGGGATTACGTAGCTGGAGACTCTTTGGTAAATGAAAAAATTAAACAAATGAACAAAACAAATAAAACAACTCATTTACAACTATGAAGGTCTGGCATTCCTGCGTGGGACTCAAAGTAACTTCAGTTCTGGGCTCTAGACTGCAGACCCTCGGGGGAGACGTCTTCCTGCCTTCCCATGCCCAGAGCCACCCAGGGAAGCAGCAAGGACTAAGGGAGCTAATGAACTCTTTCCATTTACTGGGTACACACCCGGGAGTCACCTTCCAAAATGAAAGCTCTACATCCAGGCCATGGGGTCTGAAGGCTCATATGTTGTCCCCGTAAGCTGCTTATTTTTGAAAAACTTCAGATCTTGGGTTAAGGTATAAAAACAGTAGCAAAACACCTGTCTATCGTTCATCTACAGCCGCTGTTAATACCTTGCTACATCTGCATTATTCCTCTATTTATTCTTCTCTGAACCATTTGAGAATCAGTTGCATGCTTCATGTCATACTCCCGCATTTCAGCATAAGTCCCTAAAGAAGAAGGATATTCTTCTTTTATTCACATGGTATTGTTATTCACATGTTATTCACATGGTAATAACATGATGATCACACTCAGGGAATCACCCATTAATCCCAGAAATGCTTATGGCACTAGCTTCCCCATTCGGAGCCCAGTGAAGGATCGTGCATTGACTTTAGCTACTCAGAAGTATCATGTACCTTGAAGCCTTTGATTATCCCTGAGATGTTTTACCGTTAAAGTCTCCGAGTTCCCCAGGTCTGGGAAGGTCAACATGCTGCGTAAGTCACTCACACTCTCTGCTGAAATGACCAAGATGACGTCTCTGGAGGATGTACCGTGAATAAGGACAGCAGTCAGAAACGGTTATGTGCTTTCCCATTCGTTTTACAAAAGTTGTTTTGCTAATTCAGACTTGATTAAAACTGTCTTGTACCCCAAGAGTAAAATATTTAACCTGAAACTCTAAGAAGATCTTGGGGTCGTAGGTTTGAGCCCCACACTGGGTATAAAGGTTACTAAAGAAAATAAAAAAACTTTTAAACTCCAGGATCAAATCTGCTGAATCGATTTGATGAGCAATAGGGCAGGACTCTAGGCTTAGCTAGGAAACGTCATGATAAAGGCTTTGCCTGAAACGAGTAGATATTCCAGAATGTTGGCAGGAAGCTTTTCATGAATCCTTCCCTTCTAGACTAAAGTTCTTACTTTCCAGTTTCACCGCCAACTTCCGATCACTGTCACTAAGAAAAGGGCATGAATTGAACAGTAAACAAGAGTTAACAGGAGCCCTTCTGCAGGAGAGGCCAAAACATGAAATTATTATTATTTTCTGCACTTGCTTCATTGCGCTTTGCAAAACCCTGGTTAGGCTGATACGGTCCTGCTTTGGTTTCTGAGCACTTACTAAGCGTCCTGCCCTCACAGCAAGGGAAAAAAAAAGAGGGGAGGGGTTCCTGAACTAAAGGTCTGAGCAGCAGAGACAGCAAGCTGCATCCTGTGCTCGTCCGGCTTTCTGGATGACTCCCGCGCACCCCTCCACCAGCCACAGAAGCTAGTCTTAAAGAGTTTGACGTCCCCCGTGTCCCTCGGCCCAGTCCTGGAATCCTACCACATACACAGCTCTGTGCATGCTTTCCTCTTGGACGGCCGCTGGAGAGCACCGCGTGGGCTCTGGGACTGGTAGGGCTGGCGGTACCAGAGCAGGCCATGCAGTGATCTGCGCTCCTGAAAATCAGACCTGGGACCTGCGGATCGATCCCACGTGCCTCCCGCTTCTCCAGAGAAACCCCCCAGTGGGTTTGTGAACTCAGACAGTAGGCATTTACCAAGCACGCTGCCCTGTACGCCCTCCATCGTGTCCCAAGGAGTCCAAGGCCACCATGTGCAGAGAAGCGCACGCAGCGCACAAGACAGGCCAAGTGCCTCCCAGCCTCCGGACGCCCCAGGAAGGCACCGGGGAGCTACAGCGCTGTGCCGGGAGATGTACAGAAGGCACAAACCATTTCAGCCAGGGGTGAGTGCTAAGCAGAAAGGCAGACAGGGGATGGCATACCTAGCGTGTGTGGGGGCGGGGTGGGACCTCAGCCAGGGCGGTCGGCCCTGGGGTCAGCCCCTACGAGTTCGTTTTGCTCCTTCTGCCACCTGGGCTACTCCCAGCCACAACAGTGGCCCGTGAGCACCAGGCCTCGGCTCCTGGGTGACCACGCCCCAGCCCGAACACAGACAGGAGAGGAGCGCAGGGGGCTGGGGGTTTGTCATCACAGACACGCAGAGCCCAGTCGGGGCGCTGGCCCTTCGGGGTCCGGAGAATCCGACAGACGTTTTCAAGAGCAAAATTCCTTTTACCTCAACCTGCAGAGATTTCAAATCTTACTGCAAACATTTTACATGTAAAGTATGATATATTTAATGCTTCAAGTACTTCAAGATAAAGTATTTTATATATATATATACACATAACAATCTTTAAAATTTTTAAATATTTTTAAAAACTTCAAGATATTGTAAGTTTTATTCTCTCTAGTCCTCCTGCACAGGTCAGGGGACAGACAGGAGGAAGGATTCAAAGACTCAATTTAATGACAGAATTCCATACTGAGCAAAAGCCTACAGTGTAAGCTGAAATGCGGCTTCAAAGTCCCCATCCGCTAAGAACCACAAGAAAACCCCAGCCCTGTGGTAAAGGATTCCAGCCCCTCAGCATATATCATCTCCCCAACAGCTGTGCACACGTTCAGTTTCAAGTGGTAGAAAAAAGCACAATCAATCAGAAATTCAATCTCCCACTTTTATATACTTTCTAATAGCGTCACCCATTAATTTAATGAATGGGTAAGGTATTCAAGAAAATCTCCTTCAAAGGCCTATAAATATCCCTGCGTCTATTTATAAACGAACGTGCCCTCCAAGCAGCTTCCGCAGAAATTTCCCATAACAGTGCTACAAAATTCTATTTGCGATGCCCATTACATTTGTCTAACCAGGGATCCTGAAGTCAGCTGTTTTACCAAACCGTAGACTCCGAACAAGACATTAGGAGGGTCTAACATTCCAAGGGGATTTCTATAGTATGTCTGGTTTCCAAGTGTCCTGGAAGTTGGACAGGAATCATGCAGGTAACAAAAGTCCTTGCCAGTACGTCTGTATTATATAAGTTATTCATCACTAAACATATTTCCAGTGAAATTATTCAAGAGAACCGGTAAACAGTAGTAAGGACATCTGTTTTAGAAAAGAATCTCCATATCCTAAGCTCCCGTGCCCCAACAGGAGACCGAGTGTGGGGGGACCCTTACGATTCCCCTGTCTGGCACCCGCTCCCCCTTCTCCTGGTGGAACAACACCCCGATTTTCTTCTGGGGAAGCAGCTGTCTTCACCACCCCTCAGCTGCATGGTACAGGCCCAGCGAGGCGGGGGGGGGACTGCTTTCCTCAGACAGTGGAACCCCCTACTACTGTGGTAAGGCCAAGGGGACGTGAGGAGGGAATGTGGAGATGGCAGGGGTGGAGTTTTTGCTGAAACTGGAGAAGGACCACACTTTCTTCCTGTGGACACTGGGGCATGGGCTCAGGGGGCCTGCAGGTGACACGGCCATCTTGGATCAGGAGGCGCCCCCTAAGACTTCACGGGCTATCATGTGGAGCTTTAAGATGGGAGCTGACAGTCTTGGGGGGTTATCACATAGCTGCAAGCAGAAGAACTTTGACAGTTCTAGACCTTTCCATCACAGGAGCTAAAGTACTGCCTATGTTGTGTGAAACAGTGGGGAGTTTGACTTGTGACATGAATGCCCTCAAGTGACACAGATGGTCAGTAAGACACTGATGAAGTGGGAGCCACAGGACAAGAAAAGAGCAACGGCGGCAGTGAATATGTACGCGCGTGTGCGAGGCTCACAGAAGTGACCTCCCTTGATGTCCAGGGCAGAGAGCTGAAACGTTCTGCACGTTGGCTTTGGGAACGGGGCTGCAGATCCCTCCTGTCCCTGCCCGCTGGCTGCATAGGGTGTTGCCCCTCGTGGCTTCAAGCCGAGATCTCAAGAAGTCCCCAGGGGGACTGTGGGAGGAAGGGAGAAGGTCCGGCAGGCAGCACTGGCCTTGAGAAGGGCTGTGGGGAAAAGCCCGACAGTACCCGGGAGCTGAGTTAGGAAGCCTTGAAGACAAGAAGGGAAATTCTAGGGTGGTCGGTGTGTAGGGGTTAACTTCTGTCCACCACCAACCCTGAACAAATACGGATTTCTGTCTCGTCTCTGACAGCAGAAATCACAAATGATCGAGGGGTTTTAAAACCACTGTACAGACATACATCACAGAAGGGTATAAAACTACTTCGAACTTCATGTTAAACATCTACACTTGGAAAACACTTCCTGTAAATTTAGTTAGTCTTTATTAAAAAAAAATATTGGACTGATGATGTGAACATACTCTCAGACCTCGGGTACCCATGTTTGGTAAGGGGGCCTTTGGAACACAGAAGCCACGGGCACCGCCCTAATCGGAGGGAGCTACGTGCAGACAACGCAGACCCCACTCCCCAGGTTACCGGCGCTGCAACCAGAATACTGTCCAGCTCCTGTCCACTTCTCCTACAATCGGTTCCTTATAGGAACCGATTAAACTGGGAGAGAGAGGTCAGTGGCCTGACTGGAGCACTTCCTACCTGTGTGTAGCTCTCTCTGCGGCTGAATGAGGAAGTCAAGTCACAGCCACCTGCTGTGCAAATCTCCCAATCACACTTCCGATACAAGCACTTCACTCGAAGTCCGGTGGCTGGGCAGCCTGGTGTCGGGCTACCCTGCTGTTCCCGTTTCAGGCCCCTCCCTGACCCCCGCGGGACCCAGGGGCACCCCCAGGGCACTGACCTGGAATGCGACGAGATCTCGCTGAGGTCCCCCATGCTGCCGTCGGCCGCGCTGCCCGCCGAGATGGCCGGCGCGTAGCTGTGCACCGCGAACATCTTCGCCGGCTCGTCGTCGGGCCCCGGAATGTCGGCGGAGTCGGCCCACTGCTCGGCCCGGCTGTGGATCACTGACCTGCTGCCCGCCAGGTGCACGGGGCCCAGGACGGCGGCGGGCATGCAGGGGGCCGTGTCGATGCCGCTGTCCGTGGAGGCCCCCTTGATGTAGGTCAGCCCCAGCAGCTCTGGGTCCATCAGGTCCCCAGACCCAAAGTGCTTGTCGTCGCTGTTGCTGGACGTGTTACTGGAGAGTGTGTTGCTGCTGGAGTGACTGGAGCAACTTTTGTCTCCAATCTTGGGAAGAGGAATGGAAAGGCTTCAGACAGAGCCCCTACCTTGCTTCTTTATGAAGACAGTTAGTCTCACCCAGACCCCCAAAGCTACAGACCAGAGGATCGCACCTGAGCCCTTTCTACTAGCTCTTCAACGGGAGGCAAGAAGAGAACTCACTTAAAAAAAAAAATTCTGATTTGATATAGAAGTCCCAGGTTCCTAACTCCTCTCATAATTCATTTAAAGTTAAATAGGAATCTTCTCAAATCTCTGTTCAATTATTCGTGCCTCGAGCACAGAAATATTACCACAGTGTCATAGCCAGAAAATAAACCAACACATGTTGTACAAACTGAGAAAGCACATGGAAAATTAAATAAAGGGGGGAGAGCAGCTTTTTATCAAGAAAATTCTCCTGGGCCACCTGGTGGTTCAGTGGTTAAGCCTCTGCCTTCGGCTCGGGTCATGGTCTCAGGGTCCTGGGATCGAGCCCCACATCGGGCTCTCTGCTCGGCACCCCTCTCTGCCTGCCTCTCTGCCTACTTGTGACCTCTGTCTGTCAGATAGACAAATAAAATCTTTAAAAAAATTCTCCTGTGACTAATTACAGTGCCAGCCCTGGGTGTGGACAGAGGACTTGGGTTTGAATCCCAGCAGCACAATATCGTCTTGTCACTTAGCCCTTCTCTCTGCTCCCAGTGTTGAGCTCGGATGATTAATCTGTGGGCCCAGCAAGATAATACTCTCTAATGTCCTGCAGCCACAAAGTGCATTGTAGGTACAAGTGACTTCTCTGAGAGAGCCCAAGTCATCGGGTGCCCCAGGTGCTAATGAGCAGGGCTCTGCGGTCCTCGGAAGACAAAAGAGGTCCCTCTGACGGGTCCCCTACAGATACGGTGGCTCTGCACAGCCTGGGAACCTTGGAAGCCCCAGCAAAGGGCAGGATCGTGAGCACAAGTTGTGCCCTGACCTGCCGTCGAGCGCCTTGGCGTTTCTTCTTCACCTTGTCACCCTGTCAGCTCTACACACGCCCCTGCCCTTGACCTTCGCAGCACACACAGGTACTCTCCCGGCCTACTCCCACCCCTGCCTTCCTTTGCTTAAACCAGCGCTGAGACTTGTAAAGGTAGAATTCTAGGGCTGCTGTAAGGCTGACTCAAGACAAGGGCCCCACAGCACAAAGGGGAGGAACGTCACACGTGTTCCCGAGTCCCCGGCTGTGGAGCTTGCTAAGGCCTCTTGAAGAAGAGGGGAAAATGCAACGAAGTTAGGAAATGATAAAATTTCTTCACTTGCAAGTTTTCAAACCGTTGGCTTTGTGTGGCAATGACCCACAATTTGTGTTTTCACGTGCGATAGAAAGTTGTGCCTCATGGAGCGACGGTGGCCTGGGAGGCTGCCTCAGCGGGTGAGGAGTAAATGAGTAACTGATACCCCATGTGCCAATGACCGAGAGCCATGCACCGGGCGTGGCTGGAGTGCAGCCTGCCCCTTAGTCAGCAGCTGCCAGCGTTACCGGGGACCATCAGGAACCAGACAGTGAGGGGCCAGCTGTGGGCAGAGCCACTCCGGCTACACATACACACACCGCCTCCTGGTTTCTGGCCAAGCCCACCAGGTAATGCCCACAAGGGAGCGAACCGTTCACAGATTAAAAACAGGACTGTGATTTAGTAACTATTACACTGGGTATCAAGGATCAAAAGGCTGAGGATATAATCTAGGTTTTGCCAATAATTTACGGTGTGACCTTTCTTGGAGGTTCTTCATAAATCAAGGAGGAAAAAAGGGAGCTTAAAGTCTTCCTTTATTTTCACCTCGCCTCTACTGAGAGTCCCTGCTGGAACAGCTCCCGCTGTGTGCTGAGATGGCTCGGAACGGCCACGCGAGAGGGTAGCCCGCGAAGGAGGACTTACGTGGGAGAGCTTATTGGGGGAGTCCTTGCAACTGCCGTCCTTCTGCAGGGCTCTTTCTTTATAGGAACTCAGGACTTTGGGGGGCGGGCCATGCCATTTGGTTTCTGTCACATGAAGAAGAGAATAGCTGAGTATCTAATTTGTTGTGTTGACAAAAGAGCAAAGCAAACACAGAAGCCGGACGACAAAATGGTCTGGGGGAAATGAACAAGACTGTGGTTCTGGAACGTTCTGGTCTCACCAGTGGATATCCCCTGAGCTTCCACAAAACAACTCACATAAAGCTCAGGTTCCATTTCCGTCGGTACCACCAGTACGGTGACCCACGACCACATCCCCCGCGACACTGGGAGACCCAGCTGACCGCACGGGCATTGTTGCAGGACGGCGCTGACCAATGGGAATGAAGGACGGATGAGTGGACGAGAGATGGGAGGAAAGAGGGAGCAGGACAGAAGGGCTGGGCAGCTGCATGTCTCATTACCCAGGTGCCTGCTTCCGTCCAGGCCGTCCTCCCGCTCCCTGGCTCCTTCACACTCCAAAGGGCCCGCACCCTGGTGCTCGAGCAGCAGAGGAGAGTGGCATCTGCAAAGAGCACAGAGCTGAGTGGCCTGCTCGCCGGGTGTCCCCTGGGTGCACCCCCCCACCCCGTGCGTCCCCCGCCCCGTGTGCTGCTCCCGCCGGGCCCGTCCCAGGGAAGCCCCGCAGCAGAGGCTGCTTTTGGCAAACGGAAGGGCCACTGTCTGCCGGCCCAACCCTGCCAGAGAAGCGTCAGCACCTGGAACCGGGGACTCTCGTTTCCCCGCTGGCTCAACAGAGGCACCTGGGTGACAGCCACGTGTAGACACAAAAAGGCTGCCGATCCCGGGAGGCTGGAGAGCTGCCCAGGGTCAGAGGAGCTGTCCCGTCCCCGGGAAGCCAAGGAGGAGCTCACTGCTGTGGTTTCGTTTTGTTTTCTCTTGGGCCCTGATACTTCCTTACGTCCAATTTTTTAAGGAAAAGAAAGTCCATTGATTGGCTTGAGACGACATCTAGGTGGATTGGACTCCGTTTTATGAAAACCCCACATAGGACAATACAATCTTAAAAAGGAAAGAAATCCCAGGAAAGTTCTTCCTGTCTCCAAGTGATTCCTACAGGATTCTGTGACAGATCCTCGTTTGCAAAAGAAAGACAGGGACGGTTTTTCCACTGATCCAAAAAAAAAAAAAAAAAAAATCCCTTCCACTTTCCAAATGCAACTCGACTGAGAAAAATGTCAAGTTCTTTTCAAGAACTCCATCTGCTACGCAAGGTAGGGGACGCACATGTAACTGACTGCAAATATCCACTTCTAAGCCCAGACCAGAGGGAAGCGGGATCCAGGAAGAGACGCTTCCCTCCGCACCTGTGAGAGCGGTAACAGAAAGCTGCTGTTCCCGTGGGAGACCCTTCTCGTCTGACCTGGCCATTCTCTCGTCTCCAGACCCAATTAAAAGCAATATAGGGCAATGATGTTGCTGGGAGCACCTTTTCCTCCCAGAAGTCGTGAATGTTTCCCGTGAGTTGCTGCATCTGTCAGTTCAGCATCTCTGTGTCCCCAAGTGTCCTCAGGCTGTACCTGAGCTGCCGGCTCCTGGATATGACATTCAGGCACACACTCCAAGGGACACTCCTCAGCTGGATGTATGAGGCACCCTTCTACTGTTCTCAAACAGGAGGCATGAAAAGACGGCTAAATGCTAAACCTGCCTCTTCCGATCTGGGGCCGTGTTCGGAGAAGATGCACTTCCCAGAGAGGCTGTGAATTTATTCCTTGTTGGCAGTTTAAGTGAGGGGACAACTCCCAAGGGCTACTGACTGTAGAGTCCCCAAATCCTTCATTTTTCAGAAAGACTTTCCTTATTCACATGAAAAAAATAGGCAGGCTCCGAAAACAGACAAACAAGCTCTACGTGCACAGGAATGATGAGCTTTCTGGCCTGGACAGGGACTTATTAAAAGCCTGTCTGGCATTTTTCCATCCCCCAAATGGCTTCATATACAGCAGGCACACGGTAAATGCTTCTGCGTGAGCCCCTGACCAAGTCCCTCCCAGGGGCCAGCAATGAGGGAGGACTGAGCAGTACCCGTCATACGCCGTTTGTGGTCTCCAGGGTCCGCTGCTGCCAGGCCCGGGGTCGCTGGAGGACGACTGGTTGCTGGGCGAACTTCTGAAACAGTGACTAGAATCATTAACAGGGCAGCAACATATCTTCGGGGTGTCCACGTGGGGACCCGGCCCGTCCCGCTTTACTAATAAACTCATTTGACAGCAACAAAGGAAAGGAAGAAATAAATACACATCACAAAATGAAACGGAATGCACTTTGGACCGACAGACCAAGAACAGGAGAGGCCAGAGACAGCGGGTGGCTCACGGCTGGCAGCTCGTTACAGGGAAGGGATGGGGCAGGAGTAAGCCGTCACTCTCCAGAGATTTAAAGCTCAGTGATGACTCCAGTGAAATATGGAAGAACCACGATAGAACCCACCAGAATCCAGAATTACGAAAACGTTACTATTACTTGCTCAATGAAAACTTAACACAAGGCATGTTTTCGTCTTGTATTTAAAACCCATGCAGAGACAGAACTCTAAATTTGTCAAAACCATTTATTTTCACACATCCATTGGATGCAATCCTATTTATTTCAGACACACAGAAATAAGTAATGCTCATGAGAACCCATTTGATAAAGACGGGCTTGCCAAGTTTCCATTTTGCTGCTAGAACCCTCCAGGTCTTTTTTTTTTATCCCCCCTATAATTCACTAAATTTTACTTTACTAAGGGAGGCTCTGCGGACCCCGCAGACCCCTCCTGTGAGCTACCTATGTGCGCTTCTTTGAATATGGGGAGTTTATAAACTCAGCGGACCTCTGGGAAAGGAGACCCAGAGCCGAGATGATTTAATGTCAAGTTAAAGGAATGCTGTTTCTGCATTTGACCTGTCAAGAATAGACTGGAGAAAGCAGAGAAAGACCTCAAGTTTTAATCTTACCTATACAGCCTTACTACGTGCCGGAATGGTTCCGGAAGCAGTCTGCAAATACTGAGTCCACCTTTGTAATGCTCTGCAGAGTTCTCTACTATGACTAAGCTTATTTTTCAGATGAGGAAATCGGAGTGGGGAGAGAGCATGAGCAATAGCGGCGGTGAGCTGCCACAGGGTCAGCAGCCTGGCCCAGCGCCCTTGATGCCAACACTTTAGGAGACCAGAGCCTGGCAAACCAGTTTGCGGAAACTCACCACTTCGCCATGGCCCGTAGTTACAAAAAAGCGGAAATAAAAAGCGGCTGCAATTAACAAGACGAATTTACCATTTCGTTCAATTAAAACTACCTACTGTGAATTGCGCCCCCCAAATTCTCACCAGCTTCTAATGCCATACATGCACTTTAAAACAACAGCATCTTCTCATTGAAAAATTAATATTAGGGGCGTCTGGGTGGCTCCGTCAGTTGAGTGCCTGACTCTCGGTTTCGGCTCAGGTCATGGTCTCAGGGTTGTGAGATCGAGCCCCACGTAGGCTCCTGCTCAGTGGGGAGTCTGCTTGAAGATTCTCTCCCTCTGCCCCTCTCCCTACTCTCTCTAAAATAAATAGATAAATCTTAAAAAAAAAAAAAAGTTAATTTTAAACTTCACTCAGTTTGCTTAAAACAAGAAAAAAAAAAGCAAGGAAATGCTAATGATCTTGGGACCTCTTAAAATACTATACACATCAGGATGATGGGATTTGGTCACTGATCTGCAGTTTTATTTATACTCAAAACCGCCTGCACTTATCTAAGAAGAATCCCTTCTCTTGGGTGTCTTGTCCAGGTGTAGGGAGCAAGGTGACCGGGAGGACCAGGAGAGGGGAAGGCGAGGCCCCGGTGGGCCAGCCTGGGGCAGCCCCGTTGGGTGAGGTATGAGACGGATCCTAAGCACGACCACATCTGGGGCCTGCCCTGCTGCCCCTCCTGCCAGCTGGGGCAGAACAAGTGAACTCAGAAACAAGCCAAGAAAGGAGTCCTCCCTGTGATGTCAAGTTCAAGCCTCAGAGTTTCGCAAGGGCCGTCCCAGAGGAAAGGCCTTACCTCGTGCCATCCGGCAGCTTCCGGTCGAAGGAGGTGCTCCGAGGGATGGCAGCCTGGGCCTGCTGGAGCAGCTGCTGGCACGGCAGTCGGTCGGGTGTGCCGGGCACGGGGGAGGCCCGGGCCAGGGGCTGCAGGGCTGGGGTGGGTACGCGATGCCACGTGGTGTTCCTCCGGAAGGGCGTCTTGTACTCGCATGGGGTGCCTTCGCTGTCCAGTTTATACTCTACCATGGGGATCCGGCAGAGCTCGGAACACCCTCTGTTGGGCGGAGAAGAGCGGGTGGGTAGGCGGGCTCCGTGCTGAGCCATCGACGCGGCTGCTCAGGGCTTCCAGACCATGGAGGAAAGCCAGGAACCCCCAGGAGCATCCCTGGTTTATGGGGACTCTGTCTATGACCCAGCAGGAACCAGCAGCATCCGGGATCAGGCTTGTGGCTCTGGTTAATGACAAGCTATTGCTTTAGGCATTGCGTGCATATATCCTGTCTCTCTGGGTCGTCTGCAAACTTCTTACACCCGAATACATTTTAACCAAGTTGCATACATGGAAATCACACATACCGAACACAGGGCAATGAACAAACTTCAACAGATTAAAAGTGCCTCCCATACGATCTGAACAGATTCGAAAGAAGCACAGTTATAGAACTAAGAATTACGTCACAGGTCCACCTTTTCTATGGAGTCTGAGAAAAGTGAAAAACAAAAGCAGTAAACGCCGTCACAGTCAAGGGGAAAGCAGAGTGCCCATCTGGTCAAAGTGGGGTTCTTAGTAGCCGTGGTCGCTCTCTTGAACTAGAGTTCCGGTCCCCCAAACGGGACGTGCTGGAGCACACTCTCATGTGCTTCGGGGAGCAGTCAGGAACGGGAGACCGGTCAGCCTCACATTGTGATTTAAGCCAGACCTCTCTCAAGTTTCTCATTAATTACAGAGTGCAGACAGCACTATTAGCTTGACCAAAGGGAGCCTGGGACACCAGCTGGCACAGTATGGCAAGCGCACGGAAGCCTGGGTAAGTTTCAAGTCTGAGCCCTGGTTACCATGTTGATCGAGGGGTGTCTCTCCCCGGATGTTCCAGAGTCAACGCAGAAGCTTGCTCATACTCTCCCCCCAAGAAATCCACTAGGGGAAGGTGTGGTTCTTTAAAAAGGAGACTTCCAGTCTCAAGATGGTAGAGGGACATTTCAGCCTCTTTTCCAAATCATGTAAGAATGAGAACAAGAAACAGAAACAAAGCTGACCATCTACCAAACTCGAGACAGCTGGAATTCTAAACCACGGCAATCACAGGGAGAAGGGAAATGGAACGGTGCTGATGGTTCAGCAGAGCAGAGGAAGGCAAAACCCAAGAGTGATGTAGAGGGACACAAGGAAAGATGTGACTATTCCCCTTACACACCCCCCGAAAAGGGGCAAAGGGACGGGAAGTGCCAGGCACTGCAGGAGGCGAAAGCAAGAGAGAAGGTTTCCTAGGAGGGGGTGATTTACAAAAGAGAGAACAAAGGAAAGTTTGAGCATTACATGGCAGGGTTTAATCAGGCAATAACCACCCCTACCTCTAGGGGGCAGGAGCAACGATGTGGGGAACTCCACCTGAAGGATCCCGGCTCCAACAGAGGAGAGCATGGCTGAAAACAAAAGGTTAAGTGAAAGTCTCACTGGAAAATGAGACCCACAGTCATCTCCCCTTCCTCCAAACCCAGCTTCAGAATGCTGATCAGCCTACAAAAGGCTAAGGAGGATCTTCTAGCAAAAAGACAATGAGTTGAGGGGCACCTGGGTGGTTCAGTGGGTTAAGCCTCTGCATTCCACTCAGGTCATGATCTCAGGGTTCTGGGATCGAGCCCCGCATCAGGCTCTCTGCTCGGCAGGGAGCCTGCTTCCTCCTCTCTCTCTCTCTGCCTGCCTCTCTGCCTACTTGTGATCTCTGTCAAATAAATAAAATCTTAAAAAAAAAAAAAAGACAATGAGTTGTAATTAGATGTAAGCCACCCAATCACCCCGCAGTGAGGCTCACCGACCAACCATATCCTTACAGAATAAGAAAGAACTTTTGAAATTTAAAAACATGATAGCTAAAATTCAAAAATAAAAAAAAGAAGTTTACTAAGACCAAGGTAAACTGAGGACCTCTCTAAAACTGTTACAAGCACACAAGCATGTGAAAATTAAAGTTGGATCCAAGAAGCCTGATGTCTAGACAGAGGTACCAGAAAGAGAAGAGGGGGGGAAAGGTGGGGAGGAAATGATTAAGAAACAATACAGGACAATCTCCAGAATTAAAAGATACGTAAAACCAGATTAAAAGGTTCACAGAGTGCCCAGGGTGATGAGTAAAGGAAGGTCTATGTCAAGAGAGACATACATACATATGTAGAATGGAAGGAAACTTCTGGAGGCCATGGATACACTTACGGCGTTGATTAGGGTGATGGTTCCAAGGCTGTATACTTATCTCCAAACTCACTAATCTGTGTGCATTAGATGTCTACAGCCTTGTGACATCAGTCATACCTCAATAAGGTCTTTTTCAGACATCATGTGGAACTTGAACTCCTGAGTTATAGAGGATATCCTGAGTTTCTGGGGGGACAGGAGGTATGGAAGGTACAGCAGTATTGGATGAAAGTTACTTCTCACCCATCAAATCAACAGTCCTTGGAAAAACAGGTAGGAATACAACAATGACCTGATTTTTGGCTCGGGAAACCAAATGCATGGTTGGTGCTACCGTCTGAGTTTAGAAAGGGACTGAATAAACCATCTGAAGGAGAACCTCCTGCTTGTTTTATTAAACTTTACTTCATCTTTTATTTTAACTTTCCTTCCTTCAAACCAAAATTATCTCTAACCTAGACAAGTTTAAATTACCCTGGATCTCCTCAACACATTAGTTAAACGACTGGTCAATTTGATAAGCCCAGATTTACACTGGATTGCATGGCTATTATTATTATTATCATCATTACTTCATGAAACTCCAAGGCTCTGCAATGTTTACTCATGGACTTGTACTATTTCCCAGTGTTTTTCTCTTTAACTAGGTGACACATCCCCTGGGACTACTGATTCATCCAGAGACCAACAACCTAATTAGAAATCATGAGGTGGGATATGGCAGTCATATCAAAATATTAAGAAAACCTACTCTTGTCTTCCAGCCTACTGGGTACTCTAAGCAAGTCAATGGTAGTGAGGTGAACCCAGGGCTTTGGTCTCAAAGCCTGCAGGGGCCCAGAGAGTACCTGTCAGGGAATCGAAGTGAGGGGTTCTGGAGTTATATTTGAATGAAAGGAACAGGAACCTTGGATCCTGTGGACCAATGTGTATCTCCAGATCCTGTTTGGGTTTGGGCTAGGCTTAAAAGGAAGAAAAAGCAAAGAGAAAACAGATGGCTGAGGCATGTGAAATATTTCATTCATGCTCCTCGATTGTAGCCTTTCCTAAGACATTGTAATTTAGCTCGAATCTTTGAGGAAAAACATTATATAAATGCATAATCATGACTAATATTTTAAAAGAGTGCTGACACAAACGTGTGCGAACACACGCGCTTGACGGGAGATTCCGGGTGGAATTATTTCATTTCCAACATTTTGGACAAAGTCATATGTAAATGATCTTCTTAATACTAAAAACTGGGGCTCTTATGCCTGAATAAAGAATAGCTCTTTTCGAAAGAATGGCTTTATTTGGAAAACCAAAATAAATTTTGTGAGTATGGGACACTTTTATAGCAACTACTCTTACAAGCGAGGTTTCTGCTTTATTTCTAGGACTAAACCATCAAATAAATGCCACTAATTTTATGTGGCAACATACCATCAAACCCAGTCAAACACAGTTCTGTTCTAAAAAATGTCTGGAAGGACACAGGTAGAAAATTCAGCCAATTTTTAGGGAACTAGGAAGAGGTTTAAAATAAGAGTTGTCACTTAGCCTACAGCTCCCTGTTACAGGGAACATGAGAGAAACTTCTCACCCTTTACACCTGTCCCTGGCCTCGCACACACTCCTCTTGTCTCTGTGGCTAGTTCTAGTGAAGGATGCCGGGTGAGATCTCCCTGCTCCTCTGGAGCATCACTCCCTGAAAGAGCACCCAGCAAGGATTCCTGACCACTAGGTCAAGACCAACGGAAACCCAAATGGACCAAATGCAAAAAGACCTAGCACAAAAAGATAATCCCCCCCACCCCAAAGTGAGCTGCTAATCTTGTATGTAACTGAAACAGGTTTAATTTAATTTTTTTTTTATTTCTAAAAAAAGACAAGCCTTTAGCTTCTCGCATTATAATACAAATTCAGACCTCAGGGAGAGATGCCCTCGGCTTCCTGTGGACATACACCAAATCAAGTCCACGGACGTGAACTGCATTTTTAGCTTCTGGCACACTTTTCCCAGGTTGCTTGCCAAACAAAGACACTGGAAGACGTTAGAGAGGGCCGTGGGGGTCACTTACATGTGAGCATATTGATTTCCTCTTTGGTCAGTAACAAATGCGCACGTCACCTACTTATGCTTCTAATTAACATGCGAGGTAGACGTCAATACGCACTCCGCTGCAGGGTTAACTATACGTACAATAGTTACCGTTGCTTGTCTAGCCAGGAACTTCCCTGGGTCTAATACTGCCCTGTAGTATTAGAAGGAAGGCAAAAACATTCTCTGGACCAAAGTGGTGGTAAAATACAAGCTCACTGAGCCTGCGGCACACAAAACTGTGAAACTGACAAGCAGCTGGCATCGCTGGAGCCCTCAGAGCATCTTATATTTTACTGCTTTACTCTGCAAAACACGGCTCCTTGTCCTTCTGAACTCAGCACAACAGGCTTTCTGCGATGGCTTATGTCCTGGACCAAGGACGCTCACGAGGGTCCTTGTAAGCACACTGATCAGCGCTCTCCCTGTGTCCTGCTGTCTGAGGTGGCTTCTCCCTGGCAGGGTCCTAGGGCGGCAGTTGCTACTGCTTCCTGGGCTCTGGGCATGGCCGGCTGGGGGGAGGGTTGCCCGCTCGAGGGTCACAGTTACAGGCACTTGCCTACACTGCCAAGCACTGCACTTACCCATCCCTTACACAGCGACACCCTGCAAAGTCCCCAGCCGGCATCTGCCCCCATAGACCAACTTCTTCCAACTGACCCTTCTACTTTCCTGGAAGAACCCTCCATTAGCTGTCAGTAATTTGGGCATCTGAAGGCAGAATCACCGCTGGGCTGTGGCCCCAGTTCTGAAGGCTCCCTGCCACCTCTGAGCCTGG